GAAGTATAAACCAACAAATGGTTACCGTACTTTCATGTAAGAAACGATGAAGAAGGTCATACAATTGATCTACTAAAAAGTTAGTTGAAAAAACAATCAATAGGCAAATACTTGCATAGACACACACACTTGAGGATGCATATTTCATTTTGTCATGTACTACATCTTACCAGCTTTGCCCATAAACGGTGATCCGTCTGCATCGATATACGCCGGTTTTTGTCGCGTGCTCGCCTGTAGAGCTTTGTTGGTGGCCGCCATTTCCTGCCAAAATTCTTGATTCTTTGTCAATGCCTCGGAAATCTGGGAAGGTAAGAGATTGACAGGTAGTCATGTGTGAAGGTATGTGCCAATATGTTTGCACAGTATGCCAGTCCAAGTTGCTTGATCAGTTGAAAGCAGACTTAACACCGGTATCACTACAATTTCTCACCATAGTAATTTCAGTCTGGAACCTACCTGAGTGATCAAGCTATTGACATTTGCACTTTCCATACCCTTGGTATTGATTTGTTCAATCTAAAAGCAAAAGAAAACAAAACATATTCAAAGGACAAAGAACAGCTGGTTTGTTCAGCTTAGTTTTATGCCATATTAAAGGGTGGAAAAATACTTGACATGGGCTGTATGAAGTACATTGCTCTGCTGAGATGAGGTTCACATGTGACCGACTCCCATTCAGTCGTATTCTTTCCCCAATGGTTTTGACGTGATAAATGGAGAGAATGTCACAAGTGAATTCAGTAATTTTTTTCCTTTTCATTTTACTTCATTTTATTGATCATACTAAAATAGAATATTCATAAAGGGGGAGGCGGCCTGTCAAAGGGCTGCCGTACAGTAAATAATGGAGAAATTCAAGTGGTGGTTGTGGAATTCAAACACGTCCTCTGGGGTGATAATTTGGTGAAGGTACCACTGGGTCACTACCTTTATCAGGTGCACCGCACCAGATGGATTCCATTTTTTTGTGATTTGATTTGCGAAATGCATCCGTGATCCTGAGTGTTTGAATAGTGAAGTCAGTACGAACAGTATCAAATGAGCAAACACTTATCGCACATCAATTCCTATATGAGAACAATGGGCGGTTTGGTTTGATAAGGCGATGAATTCGTCGTGTAAATGAAGAGTGAGCTAGAAAGTTGGGAAGCACTGGACCTCTGGAAAATTTCTTTTATTTTTGTTTAAATCGTCGGTGATTCAGGAATATAGACATAAAATGTGGCAACATCTTTATCATACAAAGCTGCTATTGTTACTCCGAGGAACGGAATCCGTTTCGGATCTCATGGGTGAAAATTTAAGGTGTGGAAAATAAAGTTACTTTTTGAATTCTGTATGAATTCACGATGGTTGCAGAGTAAAATAAAACCCCTAGCTGTGACTCTTCAGTGATATTTACAGGATCCTAATGAAAGCTGGTGAAGAGTTATGCACGTGATCTGCGTTGTGGTATTGTTTGACTCTAATGACTTTGGACGAATGTCCGTAATGGCATGAATCACTTTATTCACCCATTTCTGATTGTTCAAGGATTTACGGCGGAGCGAGGGCTTTATTTAAAGTTGCCGACGCTGATGGTTTGTTTAATTATCGCTGGTTCATGTTTTTCTACAACGGAGCAGGACTGACTTGTACAGTGTGCAGAAAATTATTCTATTTGAAAGAAATCGATTGAACTAGCCATAGTCCATGAAAGGGTACATCGACCATATTGCTGCCTGTTTCTGCTCAATCGTTTCATCATAGTTAAACTGATGGGAGACAGCAACATCTTGACACGAAGTACATAGATAATTTTGTGTTTCATTGTACTGAACTTGGTACATTCAAGGAAACGGGTTTTCAAGTGACTACTTTGGATTCAGCAGGAAAATGACTATCACGTGAACCAACGTACGTTGTTTTCGACTTTATCTAGTAACGTCGAAAGTAGGGGTAACATCTAATGAAAAGTAAGCAACACTCATCACCGAGTTGTAGCCAGTTTCGGGAAGTGAAGTTGAACTAGAGATTCACTACTTTCAGATTACAAGGGTCTGCCAGTGTCTGCCTACAAGGCCTTTAGGATGACCGGGCGACGTCATGGAAAAATAATGAACCAATCTAATCAGGACAGTCCCCAGGTTTTTTGCCGATTCCGCGGGATACAGGAATGAGGGGAAAAGTATCTGCAAAATCTTATTCGGTTTATCTAGAAACGGAATGCGAATGCGAATAAATTCTGACAAATGCTGTGTCTATATGTGGTCTACTTCAAAAGCTTCGTCTGGTTACTCACGAATGTTGCAAAAATCTTAGATTGCTTCTTGATATGGTACTAGTAGCATGCTATTACATTTGGATTATTCGATTCAAACTTGTTTTCATCATTGAATACAATCTCCCCATTTTCTATTATAGCATTTTTATACATTGGCGTAGCGACGGTAATTAAAGTCCAGTTCAATATTATGCTGGACTATGCTTATGGCTGCCTAAAACCTATAGTTATTTTCATTTTTGGAAATTAATCTATCTATCTATTGTACAATCCTAGTAGGTCATTTGAATAACACAAATATTTGGTTAAAAATCTGAAAGATTAAACCTTGGGAATTGGTTGTGCTACCCACCAGATATGGCACTATTTGAGTCACTTTTGTGACGAAAGAATTGTATTCCTGGCCGGTCTGAAAACACCAACTAGCCTATAACTGTTCTTACCAGTGCTCCAAAAGTCTCCTGAACCAGACAAGATACCACTTATTTTTTCAGTAAGCATTTAGTGTGAAGTACATTTGATGTATCAATTCCTCATGTTTTGCTGTACTGCGACAGGGCACCATGATCATAACTGCAAATTATCCCAGTAGATTGACTAATTGGCATGTTCATCCAGAAGTATTATTTTGACAGTGCTCATTGTATCGAGGTCACGTGAATCATGTGATTTATATTTCCTCTCCCCTGGTTTTACTGGGATATGCACGTATGATATACGCATGTTGGCTACCTTGCATACCATGACCTAGCTGAAGCGGGGAGTCGGCTGTGAACCTGGGACCAATGAGGCAATTTTTATTCATGATTACATCAAGAGGCTTGCTCAGAATCAAGCACTGTGTGTACATTCAAACAAACACGCACATAAGAATATAAAACAATAGAGTTACACTATTGCAGTGTATCATATCACTTTTACATGCTACGGAGATTGGCGTTGCGTTATACTTTAAATTTTTTTTGTTAATTTTCTATAATACGGGAAATGATGCTAAATACAACTGTTTTTCTTGAGGGTTTGTTTTTCACCTGGACCTACAGATTCTATTTGAACGGTTGCTATGAAAATCTATACGCAGATAAATTGGTAGTAATATATGATTAAACGGTCCGAAACCCAAGTATATCATGATTCATTTTCAGCATTCATCACGGAATGCAAAATTGGCACGCAGCTATTCAAGTATGACTGGTATCACTCGTACCATCAACCAGCTTTGAGGCTATCATTCCATTTATCACGTCTTCTTCCTCAGAACCGGTAAGCAATCTATAGATGGTGTTCCAGTCCAACTCAAGCATGTCTGTCTCGTTTCAGCCAAGCTGGCATATTTACATCGATTTTCTTCACAAGAAATACACTGTCACTGAATCACGTGAACACGCGAACAGACCTCACACTTAAAAAAACCTGCCAGAATAGAATTTGAGTCGGTGGTACTGTAAGTACTCCAGTCGGTTGAATTGAACCATTTATCACCCCTCAAGGAATGGAATACTTGTGATATATCTTTGATATGGATCTGCACAAACACATACACAAACACCGCCTGCAGATACATTTGTAGTGGTCTGCAATTGAAGACTTACCAGTTGGAGTAAGTTTGCCACTTTGGCCTGGTACTCGGCATTCTCGAACCGAAGCATTTTCACCAATGTCTTGTAGCGTTCCAGTTCACTCTAGACAATAGAAAAATGCACAACACAACAAAAGAGTGATTCATTCACTTTGTACAATAAAGCGAGAAAGTAATTTTCGTCAAATGCAATAAATCTGATATTGTTTACTGATTCTTATCCCAAAACGTGAATCCAAAATGTAAGCTAATTCGCATTCTTTTCACCAGGCGCATGTGAAAAGTACAAGGAGTGCAATCCAAGAGGCGAAAACTGGTCCGCACGAGTAAACTCCTGGTCGCACATGCGCCTTTATCAACCTCGACCCCAACTGACCTCTGTAAACATCTCAAGTCATATAAACATGCAAACCTGCAGTAGCCAGCGTTACTCGAGTACAGATTACCACGTGTCTAAATCCACTAATCCTGACTCCACTGTCTCATCTGATTCTTACTTTACTGTACAGATACAGATAAGTGGAAACAGCGATTCTGGGAGTATATTTAATGGGTGCGTACGAGAACTGGAACTGAAGTATACAATTTACCTCCAATATTGGCCTGGATCGTAAAACGGTAAACAGAAATTGATATTGATATATAAAAGCAGACAAAACTCTTTACAACATTAATTAAGTACAGCCGATCAACTCCTTTTACATCATGATAGTTAATCAAAGGAAATTCAGAAGGAAAGAACCAGTCAGATTTGATTAGGTCACAAGAAATATTGCTTACCCTCAAATAGAGTAGCTCTTCCTCTGTGCGATGTGTTTTCAACAATGGCCGAAGTGCAAGCATTAGACGAATCCACGGATTGAATATGCGCTCACAATTGCGTTGTATTACCCGCACAGCTTCATGTTTATCCTGTTACGTCGGGGAGACAGTAAAATAGTTTTAAGGTTTTACGGCCCAGTAATGGAATGTTAAGGGTAGGCAGGTATCATTTGGGTTTATTCAATCATCATTAGATTCCGAACAAATCAAACAAACCAGTTTGAGTTATAGTAATAGAAACGTTTTAACCAATTATCGTGACCACATTCACGACTGATCTAATGAGAAGTGCATCGTGTGGGAGTAAATTCATTCCCACTTCGAGTAGGGATTCCAAATTTCATTTGTATTAAATAGCGTATGAAGGAGTGTGTGTATTCACTCTGGTTTTTCCTTTTGCTTTTACCGTATAAAATAAATGTGGAACTTTTGAAACGTTATTGTATATTGTCTACCGTTATTCATTCATTCATTCAGTCAGTCAGCCAATCAATTAGTTAGTCAGTTAGTTAGTCAATCGGCAACGCATGCAGTCGATCAGCAAGTGGAAAGTTTCGTTCAGCAGAACGTGATTTACTCTACGCACAGTTCAACCTAGTGATTTTGTTGGCTATCACTGAAGACGACATGGGGACAAAATGGAATCGGTAATTCTAACCAGCTTCATTGTGAGCTAGTTGACGAAATGGTAGCACAGACNNNNTTCCTTGCGAGGGTTCCACAGAATTCATTCCGAACCGGTCGTTGGATACATACTACTGATGACCTCCACCAAGAGCGACCCTCGAGTTTAATGCTTGCTCGGAGCATAGTTGACTGAATGATATGAAACTTTTGAGTGAATCTGAAGTTTGAAGCATAATAATACCAAACCAGATCTTCAGGTGCAAATGTGATATTGAATACCAGGCAGTTGTTAGGCATTCTTTTCGTCGTTCAAGGGGCGTGAACTCATCGATGTTTGGGATAGCGCTTCACACAAACAATGACGTGCATGTGTGCTGCGAGTGAGAAAAAAACAACAGCTGATGCACAAATTCAATCGTAATGTTCAGCAGTTCATCCAGAACAAAATGATTCTCAATAGCCCACACAACCATACGGATACTGATGTGAATGTCAGATTATCGTCGGAATGTTAGTTCCTCTCCTCTCATTCCTCCCCCTGGTTTCAGATTATTTATATTTTACATCCCTTTTAACCATGGAGTACTGATTTTTATTTTTACAATATCTTTGATTGTTCGACGTTCGAAAAGCCAAACTATGCTTTTTTGGAAAAAAATGAAGTCCCGAAATGATAATATTGTGCTCATTTCCAACGCGTCGCGGTTTGAACGCTTGGCATTTTGGTTTTCACAATTTTTAGTGACACCTCGAAGTGGTCAGGTGGATTGTGTAATCAGGAACTATATTAACTATGTTTCAGTAACACGGCTTGTATCCTTTGATCCAGTTAAGAACAAAGAACGACCTGAGTTTTTGTATCATTACCAGTTTGTTGGAATAGCTCCACCGCCTGTCCCAATTGTCTGTTCTCCTGTAGCTCCAGTTGAGTTCTGAGTGGCAAAAGTTAATGTTTGTAAATTCATTGTATAACTGGCTATTTAATAAAATAGAGTGTAATAGTTTCATTATTCATGTTTCCAAGACATTTTGGCTATCTCACGAATCAATCAGTTGGGTGGTGGGTATTAACCAAGTACAAAAGAAGCTAAATGATCCGTACTTAGAAGAGATGGTTATGTGTATGTTGTGGATACAGCTGTCCAATTTGGTGGGGGTTTGGGAACGCTGTTGTACTTTACACGCTTTTTAAAATGGTTCGTTGCTAAGTTCAGCAGCTAGAAACATTCTCCATCTGTCGATGCTGATGCGCTCACTCGATAGCCGTAGGAAGGCAATCTACACAACTGAAGCTGTTTGAAGAGTCTGGGGAGGACCAGTGGAAAATATACGCAACGTAAATATTATATGAAAGGCTTTCAAAGGGGACTGAACCGCTGTTCCAACCTTATTGAGACTAGTCAGCCCAGTGTGAATACATTTACCTCACCCCTCGCTGAAGATGAAAAATCCCAATCGGAAATATGTTGCGGGACTGGACCATTGTAAATCCTCAATTTTTGGCCGTTAAAACAAATCTGAATTCATAGAGGGAATTCGTCGTCTACAGCGCGTGAAGCGTAAAATGGAAAGCTAAGAAGCATTGAACAGCTGTTTCGATCTGGTTGGGTTTGATCAGCAGTTCGAATTCATCGACCCAGCTGTCGATCGAACCCGGGACCTCACAGATAGAATGCAAACATGCTATCCACTCTCTGAAATTGAATTAATCCTCTTTTACAATCATGCAACAATTAGTCAGGTTGTGAAAGTTTCCAACAGAGCCATAACCCCGGAGACCAGTGCTGAGCTGAGCAGAGAGCGCAACTAGCTCGCACAGATGGATTGCGCTATATCATGTAAATGGAAAATGAAAAACGGTCTGATCAACCATCCGGTGACCGAGTGGGCAATATGCTTGCGACTGTCAAGGTCATCAGCTAGTCATCGCGGTTTGAGACTCGATACTACTGGCCAACCGCATATTCGTAAAGCCGTTCTGACGTGCTATGGTTCGCTCATTGGTTGAGATTACATTGCGAAACAAAAAACATCAAATGTTAGACAAATAATGAAGCTCCTACAGAGATACCGACGGAAAAACAGAATGTGAATACTATCACATAGCATAAACTAAACCGGCGAGAATATCCTAAGGAGAAAAGCTCTTCGTGGACCTGTTGTGCATTGTTGTCCACGTAACTGGCTAAGGCTGAGATATGATTATTATTTAAGCTATTCTGCTCCTTGTTTTGACTATTTTAATAGATTGGGATGGTTTGCTAACTAATAATTTGAAAACTGTTTGCCCGATACTAGATCACTTGCAACATCATACACCTGTCCCAATTATTGCTTCTGAGAGAAGCTGCATAAAGAAGACCTACCGAGAAAAGGTTCGTTGCTGTACATCAGCATCCATCAAACGACTGTTTTTGGTCGTTTCAAAGGTGCTAGGGTTGAAGAGTGTTCGTGGAGGTGTGATCCACCTCTACTGGACATCATATCTCCTTAGAAGTGAATCAAAAAACAAATAATTTGCCAGAAGAGCTAAAACAGTCAGTTGTGAAAGTATGTTTGTCTCACGGTTAGCGTAAAATGCCATATATACATATTTTAAGTAGTATATATATGGTGACCAAATGCTGGAGTTCAGTTGATTCTATAGAGACCCTTGTGACATTCAGCACACTTTTCTCCGTGCGTTAGGAGGAAGGGGGTGAATAAATATGAAAATGTGATATTTGCCAGGGGGATCTCGTAGTTAGTCAACGCCTAAAGCGTATGACTTAACAAAATGTATGGGTTAAACTCCGACCGAGGCTCTTGGCCTGATCCAACTAAATTGTTTGGAAGAGTGGGCAAGCTATTCATTTAATAATGCTCAAAACGTTACGAAAATATTGAAGGCTGTAGTGCGAGAGACAAAGAGACAGAGGTGGAGTATGACGAAACTCACCAGGAGATTTTCGAAATTCTGCCGAGCCAACCAACCACGACAGTGGGCTTGCAGTGCCTCTAGTAACGGTTCGTTCTGCGTGTAATCTCCCACTCCAGTATCGGATAGGGTGCCTTTTGAAAAACGGAAGTACACCTGAAAACCGGAAGAAACATCGTAAAAGCTGGTAGGTTAAAGTGACACGAAATGTGGTTTCATTTCGCGCAGCAGCTACAAACGGGAAGCAGTAAAATCATGTGCGTGCCCGCCTTGAGCAAGCTGTTTGATCCTGGCAGCGCATCAGGTGCAATCAGTATACTCATTATTAAATGTCGTTCAAATTGTAGCGACTAAACGTTTAGCCAAGGAATCAGCGCTCAACTTGCTTTCGGTTTCATTCATATCAGGTGTTTGATGCACAGGGTGATAACACAGACAGTGAGTGGGGTTCGCAAACGAGTAAACTTGATGTTACGCCAAATCCAACACTCATATACCTTACACTTGCATGGCGATCCCAGACAACGAGTTACGATCTCTTTCAAAATGTGAGGACCTACGCTACAGAATGATCCATAATCTATCCTAACGAGAACGTTCCCCCTGAGACAAGTTACAAAGGTTTGGTATCCGGAATGGATGGATGTTACGGTACCGCTAGAAGCCTTCAACTGAAAATATACCTAAAGAAGGATGTGTTTCATGCTAACCGATATGAAAAGACAGGGTCCGTATTATGGTACCCTTTTTAAAAATGAAATCAACACATGGCATATTACGCGTCACGTGGTGCTCCGCATCCGCCGAAGTAAACGGAAGAAAGAAAAGCTAGGTAGAACGTACATTTCACCGCTACATGATTCAGGGTATGACGCGATACCCATAAGACTGCATGATTAGTTAAATTTGCTGTAGATTAGACTAAAATACGTTAAAACACTTTCAAAGACAATTTGTTTTGTTATTTCGTAGGCATTCATCTTTGAAAAGTTAAATTAAAACATTGATAAAAAACACCGTTTCTATGTTTTTGAACGAGTTATGAAGTACAAATTTATTAACTTTCGGTTTCAGTCTATTTCAGCTCAAATTCTACTGGCTGCTAAATTTGAATTACAGTTCAATCTCTTTATATTATGTTTTAAATCTCATGGCTTCCACTGACATTTACCCTTTCACATTTGTAATTGGTTACTCTACCAATAGCAAGCTGATATTTGACCATAACTTTCATTGATAACCACCAGTAATATTTTGGTCGAACATTTTAACTTATTGTAATTAATGTATACTGATGGATTTTGGGTCGAGATCACAACCCCATCAAAAAAACTGAAACTTGTCGGCATTTCGCTTTAAATTCCCCAGGTTTTACGTCTTATCTATCTCAACTGCGTTTTATGATGATCTGCACAGTATGTTGCAGAGGTAAGGTTAGTGATTTCATGACGTTATGGTTCATCACAGCACAGAGTGTGCAAGTAATTAATAATAATAATAAATTATTAATACTGATTATTGTTATTATTATTACTATTAGTAGTAGTAGTGCTAGTGGTTGTAGTGAGTCTATCGAAACTCCATTTCCAAAATTAAAATGTACAAAATAGCTTTTAAGTGGGAGCGTGCAATTACATTTCTCCAAATGCGCCGGGATTAGAGAACAACTAGTGCAAGAAATTTTTTTATGTGGTGTGGATGTGTTTATTCAGGTCATCCACAGGTTTTGTTTAAATACCAACTATTTCATGTCTCAGAACAGTGCGAATCAAAGTTCTTGTGTTCCTTGGCAGCGTATTTTGGCTTTCGATTATGCCGCAATGTTGCAGTTTGTTCTCCCATATGCTACCCATGTTTCGGTTGTTAGACAGATCGTGAGAACAATAAACATTATGTGCAACACCACTCATACCTTCTCCCCTTCCAATTCGGACCATACCTTGGCAAATGTGCCATATACGCAAGCACACGCACACCAGCTGTGGTCGTGAGACAAGCGCTATTTCTCAGTTAACACCTATTTGATAACAACTGGACACTACCGGCCAACGATCAACTGAGAGGGCAGCAAAACGATGTCTTTTCCTGTTGCCAGTTGCAACTTTGAATACGGTCCTCACCATTCCCTCTATCTGAATTAACGACAAACAAGTTTGGTTCAAGAGGCTCGCTGAATAATCATCATTCTGTCCAGTACCATTCGTATTATTAGAGATCTTTATCTGTCGTAGGCACACATTTGAAAGGAATCGATCAATGCAGTTCTGAAATCCATAGACTAAAGATAAAGGGAAGCAAAATGCAATCAGAAGCTCTGTGATCCCCGTTTGAGATCTATGATTGACAACCCCATGCCAGTAGCTCTCATTGTTTAGACCGAGCGAACGACAAAATATTTGACAGGTTGGCTACGGGATACAGTCAGCTGATAGTTCGCACGCACGTGGTGCGTGTTGAGAATAAAATTCGGAATCCTACATGGCTCTCTGCCTGGATAGGTTTTTGTATGCGTGTGTGCGTGCGTGCGTGCGTGCGTGCGTGCGCGCGTGATTGCGTTCAGGCCTGCGTGTAAATGGATATGTTTACGGATGGGTTTGTGGAATAAGACTGCGTTGGTTTTCAAAGTCAGCAGACCACGGGCCCAAGAACCCCGTCCACTGAAAGCTGAATGCATTCTCAGGCGAAGGTCATTTTTGGGGTTGGGCAGATTAATTGAAGTTTGCACACCATTCTCAGATCGATCAGAATGCACCTTTATTTGCACAAAACTTCGCAAGCGACAAGCAATGCAAATGAGCGAGGCGAAATAGTCGTGCAGCACGAAAGTCGAGCAAGACAAGTTGACAATTTTTCTCGTTCCTTCTGTAGCTCTCTCTCGCACGAGTTCAACTCCTAAATAACATACCCGCTTCATCCGTTCATAACGCCGCTAATTGAAAAAAAGGAGATGAACATATGACAATTTGTGCAAACATTTTTATGCATGTTCGTTGAACCGTACGTGCTCAATCCACGAGGTGATTGGACAGCAAAGACAAGGCAGCAACAATTTCCCTGGTCCAAAACCGACAGGCAAACAGATGATAAACGTGGAGGACTGCTGAAATCGAATTTTGAAGACATCTACTACGCTGCATGCATTTTACATGACGAATTTCCAGATGAACGGAGAGTAACCAAACCAAGTGAAGAAAAAATATGATATGATTATCAATAAATTGGCAAATTGAAATTGTTAAGTGTGAAACAGAAAAGTATGACAATGCAGAAGCCAGTTGTTTGCTATGTTCTGTGACTAATTTCAAAGAAACTCTCGGCGGTGGATGGGTCAGGAGCTGATTGCCTTTGCGCAAAATTGTCAATTTACGAAAGCCTGTTTCAACCGCGCTAATTATCACTAGCAACCGGAATCCGTCGACCTTGAGGTCCCCAGTAGAACGAAACATACTAAGATCCACTTAATCACCAGTTAAGTGCAAATGTTGTTTGTGCATTTTGCAATTATTTAAAATAAATAGTTCTATCTAGTTTGCATCATCATCATCATCATCATCATCATCATCATCATCATCATCATCATTATTGTACAGTTCAGTCAATTCAATAATATGAAAGCCATCTAAGTCAATAAGGCGTGCCGGAAAACTTCACCGGGACAAGAGAAACATGAATGAAATAGGAAAATCAAGAATATTCCTGAATGTGTAGAAATCTGCTTGTTGATAATGCGCGATATAATTTTGATTTAAACATCGTCTATAATTTCTGTGTACTGATCGATGCGAGTCCTGTGAAACTCTTCATCCCATCAGCGTGAGGTTGTTTATATTATTAAAAGCATAATTTATCACAGGAAGTAAAGAAATTAACTACATTTCTTTCATCTGTGGGTCTTTCATCATCCATCAATCAAATCCAGTAATAAGGCTCATCCTCATAAGCATGAATAGCTATCCCTTTATCTTGAATTATAAACCAAGTCAGATTTATGACAACCTCGTTACCCATCAGCCCTGTACCTTTTGGAGAAGAGTCCAACTTGTGCAGATGTTTTACGATGCATTCATTATTAGAATGTTTTGAATAGCAACACCAGTCGTGTCGATCAAGTAGTTTGTCGTAGACTGGAAAACCAATGGATATTTTGCATAGATTTGTTCATCTTATTGGATATCAGGAGTTGGCAAAACTCAACCGTTAAACCAGCTTATAGGTTTGTGAATACCGACGCGATTTCTACCAGAACAAATTTTATGGTTATATGCAGTCAAATATTGAAACAGAGCGGCACGTTGCATACCAAGCGTCACGTGGTCTGACGGAATGTGCTGTGTTTAAGCAATGGTACCACAATCGATTGATTGCTGAGTCATTTTTATAATCTACAAGCGTCTGACCCAATTGATTTTAGGATGGAAGACGACGCAAAGTATAAATGAGTTCCAGTAAGCTTTGAAAATGGAGTTGGTGATATTTCCAAAACTTGTTTGGACCCTGGAACTTAATCATACAGTTCTACCATTATCATCGTCTTTGTCAAATGATCAACAAAACAATAAGAACCCATTAGTGGCTTTCAGCTATCAACAGACCAGCTAAATCATTGATGATATAGATTTCTATCTGCAAAGTCAAGTAGGTTCATTTCAGTGAACTCTTGCGCCTGCAGGAGTATATTTTTATAGGATGCATAATTTTGTCTCACATTTGAGCACATCAATCTGTTTGGTTTCCAACTAGCGACTAATTGATCTTTAGAGATCACTGAGAGATGATTCCGCTTCATTAAATTAAAACCTCATTTTTTAAAGCTTCACTAACTACGAATTTCTGTACGTTCTTTTTTCATCAACACCAGAAGACACATGTGGGTAGAATTTATATTGGTCATCAATTTCGCGTGATCTTATTCAGTTATAAATGCACACTTATATGATCATGTGAACCAAAGTAGCAGAAGAGTTTTTTATTTATTGAATAAACAAATGTACAGTCAAATTTCAGGAAGTGGGCTGCAGCCATACAAAGGATGCCGGGGAAAGTGCACAAACTGGGAAGAAGGGCGGCGGTGGAGTAGTTCAAATCCGGAATTTCCGGGTCACAATCTGGTGATCTGAACTCTTGGCCACCGTCGCCCTTTACAGACGATCGCATTTGTTTCTATCACTCTTCCATCCCACATTTCCCACATTTTTACCCGCATATGAATGATGGAGTTAGTGACTTTCTCATTGGATATTCCCTAGTAAGAACCTTTTGCAACGTCCTCAACATTCCACTTAGTTCCGACACTCATATAGGCCTTTGCAGCCCCTCCATTCATTCGTCATCAACACAAATGTCTACCGTTTTTTCATTTATTCTATCTTCTAACCTTTCACAAAGTTTCGAGTGTTCGGCATTCCACGTCTTGTATTACGATTTTATTCTACGATTCACAGTTTAGCTTCGCCACATCAGTGTTTTGGCGTTTTTCATTTCATAAAATATGTACATGTATCACTCAAAGG